CATAGTATTCCACTGTGTGAATGTACCATAATTTCTCAATCCACTCGTTTGTGGTTGGACATTTGGGGTATTTCCACGTTCTTGAGATTGTGAATAATAAGACCTGAGCAGAGTTCTGAACACAAAGTTGCCAGCTCTGCAAAGCAAGAACAGTTAGATTTTTATTTTTTTTTAAAAATCTACTATATGTTTACAATTATAGCAGATTATTTTCCTCCTGTTAATTGTATTTTTCATTGCTTTCCCTAAATATTTCATAATGGTGTTTATTATCAGCAGCTTTGAATATGTATTTAGTGGTCAGGATAGTGAGGGTAATTCTATGTAGCATTATTAGCATAAATAAATATATTAAATTTTAATTATCTTGTTTAATCCTCACAAATCACAAAATAATAAGATAGAGAGAGAAGTGAAGAAATGCTAAATAACTACCTGTGGCCTTGCAGTGAATAAGTAGCAAAGCCAAGACTGACTTTAACCTAGATCTCTGCCTCAGAATCCAGGAATTTGGATTACCAAGGTACTCTTACAGCATTAACCTAAAATGCCTCCTAAAAATGTCAGTTTTTCTAGCATTAACCCAAACCAGACGTTTTAGCATCTCAGATGGGGCAGGGTTATAAATCTGAATTTTTACCAAGCTTGCAGATGATTCTGGGCGGTACAATCATCTAAGTGTTCAACCATCCATAGACACCTCAGAAGACAGGCCTGGTGATCTAGTTTTGAAAGTTCACAGTTGTGAAAATCTCTGAGAAGCAGTTCTGGTCCACACAGATGGAGCTGCCATGAGTTGAAGTCAATGCAACTAATAACAACCAGCTGATTCTTATGCACAGTGAAGTTTAGGATTTCTGTGCTTTGTTAAAAGAAGGTAGATGACAGGTCTTCTGTGATATGTAATATTTTGTTCCACATTTTTGCAAGTTCATCAACCTCTAATAAGTGTCAGGTCTCTTAAACTAGACTTTATAAATATAATGAGGTCAGCTAATCATTATGTTACAAGAAGAAATATCTGAATCTCCTGAGTCCTGTGGGAAGACTAAAGAAAAGCATCTTGTCAGACTTCTCTGCACCAAGATTCTTCACACCCAAACATCACAATCCCCAGTCTGATTTTAACCTATTGGAGGCTACCTTCTGAAATCTGACAGCTCTGGAGATGTTGAGTCTTTTTAACCAATTTAAGTACATTCTGGAGTCAGCCAGAATTAAGATTTTGTCTCTAAACTGAGCTAGCCTGATGTATTCTCAGAACTCTGAGCTAAGCTAGACCTAGTCCTTCCCTCCATATGCCAAATTCCATTCAACTACCTAAAGCAGGCCCAAATTTATAGCTTAGTCTTTCCACCACTTTCCGCATTCCTGGGCTGGGGATACTCTGAACTGAGGAGGATACCCAAGCAGAGCCAGACTTCTCCCCAAGCACAAAAATCCCCATCTTGGTAGTGTCAAAAGAAACTGAGTCAGTAAGACTTATCTATTCAAAACCAAAATCAAACCCTACTGTCTAGTAGATTCTGACAGACAGCAACCCTCCATCATGTATGTCCATGGTTTTAAGTCTTCAAGGGAAGCTACTACTCATCTTTTTCCTGGAACAGCAGGTAGGTTCAAATCACTGACTTTGTAGTTCGTAGTCCAACAGACAACACACTAAGCCACAAGAAACAAAACAATGAACAACCCTCATGTTCACTGCTGTCCAGCCAGAACTGACTGGTAGCCGACCCTCCATTGGGTTTTCAGAAGCTGTAAATTCCAATGGAGAAAGCTGTCCATCTTTCTCCCACAGAGCAATTGTTGGATTAGAACTTGCAGAGAGGTTTTTCTTTATTAGAACTTGCAGAGAGGTTTTTCTTTACCTATTATTTAGGTCTTATTAGACCAGAAGATTCTCAAATCAGGTACTATGTGGTACCTGAGATTTCCGAAGTACCAGTAGCTATGAGTTTATATCAGAAGATTAGGGAACTCACGATGAGTTTGTAGAGAGCTATGCCCCTGTGGTGATTGGAATCCACCAACCGCTCTGAGGTACAAAGATTGGCAACCTCCTTCTGCTGGATTCACAGCCTCTGAAGCCAGCTAGAGAGTCTGCTATGAGTCGGTTCCAACTAATGCCAGTGAGTATACTGGAATCAAAAGTAGCCTTCATTAGTCGGGGAAGGTGGGAACGCTGTCAGGATTTCACTGGCCAAGGAGGGTGGAAATCCTGTGAGGATCTCATTGGTCCTGATTCACTGGAAAGTTAAGAGTTTCTGTCAAGACAGATCTTTAGGGAGTTTCCACTCCGCAGACGACCACCGATGCCATTTTATCAACTGCATGACTCTATTTGCATTTCACTTAACAAGACATAACTGTCTCTTAGATTAGGACTGTCAGTTATGTCCCAAATATTGCTGGGAGCCCAGGAAAAGAACTTGCTGTTTACCCGAATGCCAAGTGTACCCAGGCATCTTGTATTTTAACTTGCTAACTCTGGCAGCCTTCTTGAGGTAATGGTGCGCCGCAGGCCTTCTGTAGGAACATTCATCACTGGCGCTGGCTGCTCTGGAAACCATCTGTCTGGCAGGCGCATAGGAGGACTTGGATGGGGAGAGAAGGGATGCCTAAAGTGCGCAAAGGCGGCCACATCACTTTATGATCACAAAAGAATGGAGGGCCTCCTGGGAGGTGCTGTTTGAGCACACCCACCCACACCCACCCCGTCTGCTTCTCTGCGTCCCAGAAACGTGGCCAGCACGGCTGTCCCAGTCTGTTAGGCCCACAGGACATCTCTCCCTGGACATCCGTCATTAATCGGAAACAGCAAGAACAGCTTCACTAACCCAAAGCAGCAGAGCCAGTTTGGCATCTGCGCCCCGCGCGCACTGCGCCCCCGACTGCGCGCTCTGGGGCCCCGCTGCGTCCTGAAGGCCCCGCCTCTCGGTCCCGGGCCGCCGTGGCCACGCCCCACTTTGTTATCCGATATTTTTCTGGGTCAGCTGGTGCTGGCGTCAGACGGGGGGATGGCCTGGCTCCGCGCCACCCGGCTGGGCTTGTTTACTATGGCTGATGAGCTGGAGCAGCAGTGAGTTTATCCCGTCTCTCTCTTTCTCTCTCTCTCTCTGGGCCGTGATCCTGGGACTGTCTGTGACTGAGGAACTATTTTAGACACCTTCCCACCTTTCCTTTCTCAGGTTGGCTTCAGGGGAGGACTGGGCTTGGCGTGCGTTTGCTTTGCCTGGAAGAGGCGGCGGCGGAGCCTGGGGAACGATGGCTGATAAAGTTGCCTGTAGCTCCCCGGCTCTGGCTTCCCCTGTGCTCTTCGTGCTTGCTCCTCATTCTCCAGTCTCAGTACCCGGGGATTAGTTCTCATGTCTGTGAGACCCGGAAGCAACTCTCTGAGATATTGGCTGCAGAAGTGTCATCCAGATGTGCTTGCCTTGACTTGCTGGTCTCACCGACCATGTCTGTGTGGGAAGAGCCTTCCCTAGCCTGGCAAGAAGGAAGAAGCAGAGGTCTCATCGCTGGAACGGAACTGGAGTAGCGGGCGTACAAATTTCTTCCACTCCGTTCACTGAGACACATAGTTGCTTGTGATTCTAGTTATTAATGGCTTTAATCGTAGCAGTTTCTCTAATGCAGCTTCTTGTTGTCTAATCCAGGGGCTTCCGAAGTAAGTTTTATTTTAGGATTCGTTATACTGTCATCAAGTTTGGGATGCCACCTGTAGGTGGTGTGGCTGGAAGTGCATAGTCCGATAGGAACAGGGAAAGCTGCTTTGAGAATGACTCAGCTTCCAGCCAACTCTTGGTTTCACAAAGACAGGGCCTTCCTGGATCCTGTGGGCCCCCTTTCAGAGTGTCACAATTTTCAGCCTGCAAAGATCACTGCCCTTGTGACAATAATGAATAGCTTCTTGGGCTTAAAAAAACAGGCCCTGATGGCACAGATATTAAAGCTGTCAGCCATAGGATCAGTTATTCCAACCCACGCAGCAGGAGAAAGATGTAGGGTCGACTTCTTAAAAGATTTCAGCCTTGGAAACCTTATGAAGCAGCTCTTTTCTGTCCTAAATGGTCACTGAGGGTCAATTGCACAGCTCTTGGTTTTGGTTTTGAGTGGACTTAAGGAGCTGCCCAGGAGAGAGATGCTCTCTAAGATGTCTTTTTCAGAAGGAAATTTACAATACCTCAGATAATTCAAATGAAGACATTGTTGTCGATAGCAGTTCAGAGGCTTCCCTAAGATCAGAGAGGCCAGAGAGCTTTCTCACCCAGCAGAATCCTTTCTGCTTCACCCCAATCCCTGGATAAAGGAAATCGAGAGGAAAGGCTAAATTCATGGCTGTGTGACCTCTGTGTTTGGCTTCGATTTCTCATCATAGCCTTCACATCCCCAATAATATTGAACAGACATGGTTCCATGGAACCACATTTCTCTTGAGTTGTGCTGTTGGCAACATGGCATCTAGGTGTCCTGAACTGACTCGTTACTGGCTATATGGAGGGGGCACTTGTGGTGTGGTCTGTAGCGAGTTCTGCTGCTAACACAAAGGCCACACCACCCTAATAGTTTGAATCCACCAACCTCTCTAAGGGGGGAGAGGTGAGGGCAGACTTGTCCTGTGGGGTTTACAGCCTTGGAGACCTTCTCAAAGGTCAGCTGTGAGTCAATTCTGACTCAACAGAAATGAGTTTGACTTGTTTTCATTTATACGATGCAAAGAGAAAGTTTCTTTTTCCTTAAAAAATAAACTCATTGTCACAGAGTCTATTCTAACTTGTAACAACACTGTCTGGTAGAGTTGAACTGCCCATAGAGTTTCCAAAGCTGTAAATCTTTGTGGAAGCAGACTGTCATATCTTTCTCCTGCAGAGCAGCTGATAGATTTGAACAAGTGATCTTTCAGTTTGGAGCCAGGTGCTTAACAGTGCACCAAAAGGACCCTTAACACAGGCAAAATTTCTGTATATTTGATTCTATCCCCCAAGCCTATGAGGAATTCTAGTCAGGTATCAAAAATTTTCCTCAGATTGGATTGCTTGAAACTCACTACTGGCTAAAGCCACTGATCATCAGTATTTCTTTCAAGCTTCAAACATTCATTTAGAGTTACAGCTTGCAAACATTGGTACTGTAAACAAAGTTAATGATTTAACTGGGGACAAAGAATGTTTCTTGAGAGTCTAGGCATTATTCTGTATGCTTTAGATAAATTAACTCATTTAGTCCTTAAAACAATTTATGTGGTAGACACTATAACTGCCTCCCTTTTAAAGATGAAGAAATGCTGACAAAAAGGCAACAAACTGTATTTAAAGTCACCCTGCTGGTAAGTGGGACTGCCTGGATTAGAGCTCTGGCTTTCAGCTTTAGATCTCACTTCCTAATCACTGCTGAGCCTTATACAAGCCTCAATACTTATCAATGAAGCATAACATGGGTTAAATATGCCTGGGTGGTATTGTGTGTAGACAAGATTTTACTGCTTGAACTGGACTCTGAAAGGTAGATAAGAATGGAATAGAGATAGTAGGACAGGGGTAAGAGACCCTGGTGGTGCAGTGTTTACGTCATCAGCTCAGACCCAGCAGCCACTCTGGGAGAAGGATGGAGCCACCTGCTTTCACGAAAATTTCAGCTTTGGAATCCCTGTGGGGCAGTGTTACTCTATGTTTTAGGATCATTTAGATTTGGAATAAGTTTGGTTTAAAGACTAGGGTTGCAAAAGTATAGAGATAAGCATATGATCATTTCCATTTTAATCCATTCTGGGAATTGAAAGGAATAATGAAAGGTGGAAGAAGTGAATTCAAGCTGATCTTTAAGGAGTGTGAATTCTGGAAAGGTTGCTTTATTATTGAAGTGTTTTGAGCGGGCTGTTTTTGTAGGGGCCTGTGGACACTGGTGTGGTCAAGGAAGGGACACTCTGTGGGAAAGGTACTATTAGTAAATTTCTACAGCACACACAGACATCCTGATGCGTCATTTGAAGCAGAGTTCTAAATTACGTTAGGTCCTTAGAAATCACCTAGCCCATCCTCTTTATTCAGGATTGGACAGATGCTCCAGGGTCCTGTCAGTAGGGTGGATCGCATGAGAATTAATCTCTCTGCCCTAGAAGGGAATGCTCAGGAGTAAGATGGCAGAAGATAACTGTAGTGGCCATTCTTGTTTTTCCTCTTAATCTCCTAGAACATAAAATATGATAACCATTAACAAAGGGGAGTGTGAAACGCAACTGAGATAATAAATGTAAAAGAGCTTTGTAAATTGTAAAACGTTATGCACACTATGTTCTGAGTATCTACTGAAACAAGGCCATGTTGTTGCACAGAGCCATTTCTCAGAGAAAGTTAACAATTTATCAGGCAGCTAGAGAATTGCTGGCTCTCACTGTGAGAAAAATTTTGTCACTGTCAGCAAGGCAGAGCATCAATGTGTCCTCCAATGTTTCTCCCTGTCCTAGGCCTCAAGGCTGGCTGAGCAGCTGGCTGCCCGCTTGGCGCCCCACATCTATGTCACAGCTGAAGAATGTGGAAGCCAGGATCCTCCGGTGTAAGTAGAAGGGACAGCTTGTTCCACTTCACTCAGGAGGCTCAAGGATACAGAATATCTGCCCCCAAGACTTGATCAGCAGTGCTTCAGGTGGGATTAAGTGATGGCAGTGATTTGAGAGAAAGCATTGATACAGAAGGTACCACAGTCAATGACAGTGGTTCCTCAACTTCTTCCTTCCTACCCATCACACTAATTCCTGCTCCAGACACAACTTTCACCTCAGATATAAACTCATTGCTGTCCAATTGGAACCAACTCATAGCTTGTCAAAACTGTAAATTGAAAGGGAGGAGTTTGCCTCTATTTCTCCCAAGGAGCCACTGGTGGATTTGAATTGTCAGAGAGGTGTAGTGCATTTCCCTGTGGACTATGCCATTGAAGCTCCCTTCAAGACTATACCAACTTTTAATACACAAAACACACATAAGCATAAACAGTCTCATCTTCTTTCTTCTTCTATTCTTACTTCTTTCTTCCACAAAACAGCATTTTTTAAATTTATAACCTTTCTTACCCAAGGACCATCAATCCTTCATTCTCTATTATTACCCCTCATGTTCCATGCCCAGCCACTTGTTATTGCAGTAGTTTGGGATTTCCACAGGAATTTCAACATGGGTAGTGTTTTGTTGGAGTTTTTGAGTACTGTAGAATTGGGACCAACTTAAAGCTAACCCTCCAGCTGATTTTCAGGGGTAGTAAATCACATGGGAGGAGACTGCCCATCTTTCTCGCAGAGCAGCTGGTGGATTTAAACCATGTGCCTTTGAGTGAGCAACACAGCTCCTTACCAGGAGGCCACAAGAGATCCTTGTTTAGTTGAAGTAGATCATTCATTGAGCAGCAACAATCCACTGGCTAAAACAAAATCCTTGAACCCTATTTCTCTAACCGTTCTTCCTTACTTCACTCCCACACCCATAGTCATAACTATTCTCTCTTTCACAGGCTTGAGTAATCTGTTCACCAGCAGAGCAGCCACAGCTCTCAAGCCACTGTCCAAGATCCAGGCTTCTTCACTTATGACCTCACAGAACATAGAATGATGGGTTCTGTGAGCTCTGTAGTGTCACTTCCACCAAAGGGAAGTGACTTAGTTCCAAAGGGAACTAAGCAAACAGCCTCAAGGAATAAGATCTCCCCTTTTATTACCTACAGAATAGTCTACAAATTCAGCTTGGAGTGAACTCTTTAGGATATATGTTCAGAAGGTTGTAGAGAGAACAGGGTAAGGGAGGTTAAGAAGGGTTTGAGAATGGAAAGAGAACTCTGAAGAGAGGTAATCCAGGCATAATGATGATACTGCCAAAAAACAGTCCTAACTGATTTGCTCTGTGATGTTCCCTCCTCAGGTCTCCAGAACAAGTATGTGGGCCGCTATGTGTCCCTCCCAAACCAGAACAAGATCTGGACAGTGACAGTGAGCCCCGAGCTAAAGGACCGCACCCCCCTGGTGATGGTGCATGGATTTGGGGGTGGTGTGGGCCTCTGGATCCTCAACATGGATTCCCTGAGCACCCGTCGCACACTGCACACCTTTGATCTGCTTGGCTTCGGGCGAAGCTCAAGGCCATCCTTCCCGAGGGACCCAGAAGGGGCTGAGGATGAGTTTGTGACCTCAATAGAGACATGGCGAGAGACCATGGGGATCCCCAACATGATCCTCCTGGGACATAGTCTAGGTGGATTCCTGGCCACTTCTTACTCTATCAAGTTCCCTGAAAGGTAAAGAAGAGCCATCTCTCTCCTCTTGCTAGGAATTTTCAGCATTCGTTTCTAATAGTTTTCTCCTTCCCAAACAAAGATTTGGAAAGGAGAAAATTATTAGAAACTAATACAACTTCTCTTTCGTTCTGTCATTAATGTAGAGTTAAACACCTCATCCTGGTGGACCCGTGGGGCTTTCCCCTCCGATCGACTGACCCCAGTGAGATCCGGGCACCCCCAACCTGGGTCAAAGCCGTGGCCTCTGTCCTAGGACGGTCCAGTCCATTGGCTGTTCTTCGAGTAGCTGGACCTTGGGGTGAGTACCTTGCAGAAGAAGAAACTCTGTCTCCTGAAACCAAGGTTTTCTGATTCTAGGCACCCCAGTGCTTCTGCGTTCCATCCCTGCTAGTTTATGAAAATGAGGATGGACATAGGGACTTAGCAGCATTGTTATATAAAGCCATTAATCTGGGAAGTTTCAGAAAATTCTTTTTTCCCCCTTCATCTGTATAGAAAAAGTTTTCATATGCAAGGGGCACAGGAAGCAGAAAAATGAATCCCCTGCCTTGGCTAGACTTCCAGAGAGAGGAAAGGGCCAGGGTGGACTCTTCCTTTCCTTTGTTGTTAAACTCCATGTGAAGGTTCTTATGCCAGAGAGTTGCTGATGCAGCCCTGGTAACCAGGAGCGGGTCCCATCTCCACAGCTCACCAGCACTAATAGGAGGAGTCAGAACCAAAGCCTGTAATATTTTACCTGTTCACAGCATTCATTTTTTAGTTTTTATTGATGTTCATGTTTTGGGGTTCTTTTCACCTAATATTTTGTTTTGACTTGGGTGAAAGTTTTTATTTATTTATTTTTGGGGGGTGAAAGTTTAATGAGCAAATTGATTATTCTTTATTTTTTAAATTTCTTTTATTTGGGTTAAAGTTTACAAATCATTTTAGATTTTTATTCAATCATCTGTGGACATATTATCTTATAACATTAATTTCAGTTGGTTAATATAATTAATTATAATGTCTAATTAAATTCCTACTGTATAGTGCATTTCCCTTCCCAACTATGTGTTTATTAATTTTTCTTTTACTTTCCCTCCCTCCTGGGGAGGTGACCTACCTAGCATCTATATTACTATAAAATTTGTGATTCGTGTGACCTCAAGTGTGCTAGATCAGAACTCTGCTCCTTAACATTTTCAGTGGCTGATTTTTCAAAAGTGGACTGGCAGGCCTTTCCTCAGAGATACCTCTGGGTGTACTCAAACCACCAGTCTTTTGATTAGCAGTCACTATTAGCTAATTCTTTGGATGAAAGAGAGGCAGGGAGGCAGTGAAGGGATGAGGTAGCCAGCTAAAGTGAACATGATCCATAGTTTTGGGCCTTCTGACCTCGCATGTTAGCATCCGGAAAAGATTATTGGCCTCTCTCTTGTATTGATGACTTACTTATATGTAATAACAGTCAATAAATAGACAATTGGAGTTGCTAAAGGCTACCTAAGAGTTGTCCATTTAGGTTCATCAAGAGAAACAGAATGGTTCTGGGTAAAAGAGAAAATTACTAGCATTTTGTGGGCAGAGGGCTGGTCTCTGTTCCCATCACTGTGGAATCCATCAGACTCTCTAATCTTTTCCCAGGAGATGCTCTGCTCCAGCCACTCTCCCCATTTCTAGTCTTGCCTTTATCCAGGTTCATGCATGGGCATCAGAGCTATTTTGTTTGTGGTGGTTGGCTGGCAGCCACGGAGAGCTGTGCCAGGAGGGGGAGGAGGGATGCAGCCAGAGATGCAGGATCCTCGTTGTACTTGTTGTCTTCCTCTTCTTTCCTTACAAGCAGAGATGTGGGAGGGAGAATAAGAGATGAGAAGTTAACTATTAGGTCCAATTTTACAGTCCATTCCAGGTGTTCTACTGCTTGTGCTTTTTAATAAAGGTGAAAGGAACAGATTGCTCTGAGGCAGTGCCCTGAGTCTGAGATGCCAGTGTTGTTACTCACTCTTTACTTGGATTCTGTTACAGGCCTGAAAATGAGAGGGCTCTTGGGAGGTGGTCTAGTTTCATCCACTCCCTTCAGAAGAGCAAAAGGTCAGCAGGGTCTCAGGGAGAAGGAGACGTAGCTCAGACTATAAAAGAAGAGCTGCTGAGCTCTTGTGGGACTTTGTAATTCTTGGAGGAAAGGATCCTGGGAGTTCACTGCACTAAGAAGAACCGAATCTGGTTCTGCAGTGATGTTTACTGTCGAAATTCCTTGGTAATAAGCTAACTTATTCTGTCAATGTGTGGTCATCTGGAGCTTCCCAAAAAACCCTAACTTTTCCTGCCACTTACATATAAACAAAAGGTAAAAAAAAAAACACCACAAAAACAAACCATCAGGAGAAAAAAAAATATTCAGTTGAAGGTGCTAAATTAGTATACTAAGAAAGAGAATCTTGTTCTCCCACCAAAGCTGGCCATTCCATTTCTTTTGTTACCCCCTCTCCCCCAGGACCTGGCCTGGTCCAGAGATTCCGGCCGGACTTTAAGCAGAAGTTTGCAGATGTTTTTGAGGATGACACCATATCAGAATATATCTACCACTGCAATGCACAGAATCCCAGGTAAGAACAGCACCCCAGGTAGATAATTTTGGGGCTAAAACTCCAGCTGCTGGGAAACTCAGAAATTATCCCAAAATCTTTGTTCTTTTACAAAGCCCTGACTCAGAGAAACCCAGGCAGCGGACTTCATTATGTCCAAAGCTACCCCCTAGGACAGGCACATACACTCCCTCCTCACTTAGTATCTCTTTATCTAACCTTTTACATTTACAACTTGGAAAAAAACCCCAGGCAACACTTCTGAGAAGATTTGAGTTCAACGTGATGCTGCAGGTAGGCCGGGAGTGCCCTTCACAGGCCACCGCCTGATAAAATGTACGCCTTAGTAACAAGTAAGCCACGTAAGGGATGGCATCTGACCAGCTTCGGGACACCTCCCAGGCACCTACCACATTTTTGTCTAGCCATTTGAGGACATGGGGTGAAGTAGGATGGTGCGTGCACAAGGAAGCCAGGCAAGGGCCCAAAGGTCCCAAAGAGGGGCAGTGAAGGAAACGGTGCACAGCAGTGCAGGGGCCACAATGGATAGAGAACAAGCAAGGTTCCCACCTAGAGAATGTGATCTGAGGCAGTGATTAGGGGATGGTGTGGCCAAGAAGAGGGGCATGCCATGCCATGTGTATCCCAAAATGCACACCAGGAACATCCCCAAACCAGTAAATAATGATGGAGGCAGGGGAACATCAGTCCTAAAGATGAGGCCTGGCCCCTAATTTCACTCTGTGACCTGATCTGTCATGAACCTCACCGGTTCAGTAAGTGAGAAGCCGGGCTAGTTTCTCTAGAGGAAGATTCTTCCTCTTTCTCTGTAGACAGACAGGCAGTTAGCCTGAAGGGCAGGAGCCTAGAAATAATTGTAAAAGGTAATTCTCCCCCCTCTTTGTTTTGTGATAAATGTGAACCTATAAAATATTGCAAAACAAATTCTTCCACCCCAGGCTTGCAGTTCCTCAAAATGCTTTGGTACTCCCCATCTGTCACATGACATGGTCCTAAGACCATCTGTGCACATGTACCTTTGCACACATAGGTGATTATGCCTACAGAATCCATTCCTACAAACAGTTGGTGCAGAAAGAGTGTGCATTGTAACATTTAACTTGGGGGTGCTTTGGAAAGGATTCTAACTGGAGCAGAAATTCCTTCTGGGATCGGGAATGTCCCTGTAATCTCAAGAGCTTCAAAAGCACAAACCTTCTAATCTGAGTCTTGGGGATTCTGGCTGGCAGGGCAGGGCCAGGGCAATCTCCGCCTGTGGCAGTGCCCTGTAAGTGACTGATAATATGAAGCTGCTTCTGCGGAGACCTCACCCTGAGCTGCCAGGAGGCACCAGAGAGCAGCGTTCCAGCCAAGTCTCCCGCTGTGAGCCCATAGCCACCGAGAAGATGGGGATTTGCATTCCAGCAGTCCTGTCTGGGCATTAGCCTCAAGCCCAGACATCTCTTTTGGGGCAGCGTGGGAGTGTCTATCCAGCATTCTACATGAGCTCAGCTAATTGGAGGGCCCCAGTTAGGCAGTAGAATAGAAGCCCTCCACTCAACAGTCAAGTCAGGTAGCCCTCTAGCTTCTCTCTCAGCCCTCACTGGGCTCAGTGCCAGTCTCATACCCACTGGAGGCCTCACATACCCAACCTAATCCTTTCCTCAGATCTTTCCCCAGCCCCAGACCTAGTTCTATCCAGATAACCTCCCAGTTTAAGCCACAGCATATATAATCTTACAACCCAGGCCTGTTCTGGAGAAAGCAAAGATGACATCAAGCGATGCAGTGATAACCAAACCCATAACTCCTAAGTTCTTTCACTTAATTCGAAACCTCTTTGGGTTTTTGAGTTAGAACTCTAACAAGCATACATTCCTTTGGAAAACGGGAAATTTGGCCAAGAGAAATATATTTGCGGGGCTACCTCCTAGTTTACCTCACTTAGGGGCTTGATATATATTTTTGTTTCCTACACATAATCTCCTCCCTCCCCCAAACACACATATAATCTTATAAATTGTCCCCCAAATACACATGTAATCTTATAAATTGGCTATAGCTGTCTCTTGGTTTATATGAGACATAACTAGCATTTCAACTCATGTCTCTTTGACTTCAGAGTCCCTCATTTTTTCACTCTGCTGTTGTATCTTAAGTTTCTGGTGGCCTTGATAAAAGTCAGCCACCCCTTCATTTCAAGGATCTGGAGCTGGGAAAACAATACACTGAACAAGCCAAGCCTAGTAGATAGGAGTGTAAACATCTGTCGTCCACAAGGCTAAAGCCTAGCACAGAAAGTTGGCTTCTGTCCCAGCCTTGCTGATACCCCACAAGATAAGGTTTCTACTAGTTTTACATTAGAAAGTAAGAGGGCAACATAGAATAAATTGGCATTTGTTGTTTACCGCTTAGCACAAACTGCTGCCACTCCCAAATCCTCCTAAAATGGAAATTGTAATTCAGATGTCTCAGAAAGTCATTTTTACTAAGTTTCCTCAGAAGCTTTCCTCCAAAGTAGCCTCCTTTAACTCGCTCCCTTCACCCTCAGTCAGGCTAGCTCCTCTTGCCTTTGTTCTCATAGCACTTGGCCCCTCTCTCACAATTCTTGAGAAATTTTAATTTTCATAATTAGTCATATCATTCATTACTTAATACCCACCTTCCTAACATATAAACTAATCAGTCCATTCCATTGTTGGACAGTTCTTACTGCCATGAGGTTTTTTCATAAATGTCTTCCTCCTAATTCTTGTGTGAAAAAAGGTCTTTGAAGATTTTAATATTAACCTTCTGTTTTTACCAATATTTATAATGCTGGACTTTGAGAGGAATAAAACATCAACGAAGATACTGCTTTAGCCTCTGGACCAGTAAATTGGCATTTGATGCTGAGAATGCAGCCTTCTGTATGAATTGCATCTCAATGTCAAGAAAACAAAGCTTTTTACCACTTGATAGATGGAGAAAAGATTGAAACTGTCAACAATTTTATCTTACCTGGACACATAGTTAACACATTTGGTACCAGCAGTCACGAAATAAGGGGACATATTGCACTGGGAAAGTCTGCAGTTAGGGACTTCTCCAAATTATTGAGGCAAATTATTGAGGAGTAATGTCAGTTTGAGGACTAAGGTGTGTGTGATTCAAGACATGGCCTTTCTGATCACTTGCTATACATCTGAAAGCTGGACATTGAATAAGGATGCAGAAGAAGAATTGATACCTTTGAGCTGTGTTGCTGGAGAAGAGCGCTGAACATCCCATGGTCTTAGAGAGGGTACAGCCAGAGTGCTCTTTGGAGGCAAAGATGAAAAGGCTTCACTTCATATACTTAGGGTGTGTTGCTAGGAGGGGCTGTTCCTTGGAGATGGACATGATGCTGGAACATGTTGGTTGGCGAAGGAGAGGAAGACCTTTGACCAGGTGGACTGACACAGTGACTGCTGCAATGGGCCCTAATGTGTCAGTAAGTGTGAGGATGGCACAGTATAGGACAGGGGTCAGATGGGTCATACTCAACTCATTAGTACTTGACAATAGCTAAGAGGTTTATTTTGTTAGTCACGTCCACCTTGGTTTTTTTACCCCCACCAGTGGTGAGACAGCCTTCACATCAATGATGGAATCCTTTGGCTGGGCCCGGCGCCCCATGCTGGAGCGAATTCACTTGATCCGAAAAGATGTGCCCATCACCATGATCTATGGGGCTAACACCTGGATAGATACAAGCACAGGCCAAAAAGTGAAGATGCGGCGGCCGGATTCCTATGTCCGAAACATGGTAAGATGAACCGCTCAAGAAGTAGGTGGTGAGATGAAAGTGTCGTGAAATGAAGGCCAGCATATTTTTATTAACCATCAGTAGACAAGAGCGTTGGGTTAGTGAAGGGAAAGTCATCAGAGACCTGGGGGGGGGGGAGGAATGGGCCGATTGAGATGGGTAGTGGATTTGTAAATTCAAAATGTTCTCACCTCTGTTTATGTAGCTCAGTTCAACTAAAAGGTGGGTCCAGTGTCCAGGAACAAGAACCATACAGATAATCCAGCCACCCCATAATTCCCCCCTATAATCAGAGTTCACAAGAGTAGAGGCTGCCACCATGTCTTTCCAGCACTCCTGTCATCTTTTTTGCCCCCCTTCACCCTCATTTGCCAAATGTACGCTTCATTAGGCTGTGCACTGTCATACCATAGATTGAGCGGAACGGATCAGTGGTGAACTAACTAGGAAAGGGAGAAAGGAAAAGGCCCTGTTGCAAGCACAGTGGGATATTAAGATACATTGACTCTCACAGGAACGTGCCAAGATTAGGAGAGAATGGTAGCCATTGTCTATAGGAAAGTGGCACTGAGGAGAAAAGAAATAATGAGACAGCTTTCTCCAGTCCCTGGAATAAAAGCCCACCCCATTCCTGGTGGTTCCTCTCTCCACAGGAGATTGAAGATGCCTCACACCACGTCTATGCTGACCAGCCGCACATCTTCAATGCTGTGGTCGAAGAGATCTGTGACTCAGTTGATTGAGCTGCTCTGCCTAGAGGAAGAGGAGAAAGCCAGAGGAGAAAGCTCTCACACCCCCGTCTGCTTACTTGCCCTTCTTTCCTTTCCCTCATCAACTAACACGTGCCAGCCAGGCAGAGTCTTAGGCTGTCCCCAGGACAGGACCACAGTACACAAGAACACTCCTGACCCAGTGCTGCAGGCTGGAGGCAGAAGCCACAAGAGGCCTTGAGCTCCCATCCCAGGAAAGACCATAAAGGGTTGCACAATGCCGCCCATTCTCTCCATGCCAAGTGTTACCAGATGATGATTTTGAAGAGATCGCACCGAGCCATGTTCTCTCCCTGTGCCAAAGGGAAGGTGAGCTCTCTTCCCTGGCAAAGGAGAAGTTCCTAGAGTTTTTTCCTTGCTCTCGAGTGTTTGTAGGTATAAATTAATGCAAGAACATCGTCCTACATAACCCGCTTATCCTGGTCTCATGCCAGTTTTATACAAGGTCTGGTTAGGACCAGTTTCAATTAACCACCAAGAGTAGGGTCCTAGAGTTCCTGTGATCTTCAGAGTCTCTTCCATAACTCAAGAGATCATATTTAAAGCCCTCATTGACAGATGAGGAAGCAGGCCTAAGGCAGGACATGGCTGACACATGGTCACACAGCTCTGTGAGATACGGCTCCATGGCAGGGCTAAGGTTAGAACCCAGATCTGCTGGTCAACCAGTGCTCATTGCAGACTTCATTTGCAAGGCTTCAGAGCAAGCACCATTGCCTTGGTCCCAATCACTGGCTGAGGACAAGATCACCCCTGCCCCCACAGTGCACCCCCATTATGGAGGGGTGCTACTGTCCTGCCCTATGTCTCAGCTCTGGCTACCCATACCAGAGACCGTCAAGTGCTTTCTTCCTTGTCCCTTCTTTCTCTCAAATGGGAGGCCTCTAAGTCTCCTTTTGTGCCTTGGGCTCTATAGCCCCACTTACAGTATAGAGAGCAAGGGTGGCCCCTGGTGGAGAGAGGGGGGAAAGACCCCTCAAACCCAGGGTCCTGTCCAGATTCCATTCCTCTTGCCCAGTAGTATCTACAAGGCTTTTCAAACTACTCCAGAGATGAGGCCCACCTTGAGCCACGACCAAAGGAATGTGCTGGAGAACCCTGAGCCAGTGGAGTGCCCTGTCCTCATCAGCTACAGGATGGTTTTTATTGCCTGACCTCCATCTCTGCATCTGTCCTTAGGGTCTCCAGCTCATCTCCACCTCTAACTTACCTGTCAACCCTTTCCCTGGGGTTGGTTCTAGGTGCTGCGCTAAGGTTCTGGGAAGTTGGCTGGGCCTGACCCTGGAACTAGTGCAGCTCCTTTCTGCTCTATCACTTTATGAAGCCAACACTGCCACCAGTATAGTATTAATGCCTGGTGCTTTGTACTGCTGGTCCAGCTGCCTTGGGCTCCTTTTCTATATTAATAAAGAAATGAGTGAAAACTGCTGGCAGCCATGATAATTTAATACTGCTCCCATGAGGGTGCTGGAGATAATACTGAACGCACAAAAGTCCAGGTGATGCCTAAATCCAAAAGGTGGCCTAAGAGATACCTGCTGACATCTCACTCCCTCTCCCATTAGCACGGTGATTGCTTCCTAGACCCAGCTGACAACACATGCATATAAATGTATATGCAATAGAAAATCACAACTGAAAAACACTGAGTGGTGAGAAAGGCCTCCTTGCAGAAGTGACACCTGATGACCCCTAAGGGGGAGATGAAGGTATCCACATGAAAGGAACAGCAAGCACTGGACCTCTTGTGGAGGAGAGCTGGGAAATGAGTGTGGAGAGGTTAGCAGAGATGAGTTTATGCATGCCGCATGGTTCTGTATAAAGAATGGCTTCATCCTCAAACCAATGGGGTGAAAAACCACAGAGAGGAAGGTCAGGAAGGGATGGGGAGTGTGAAAGAATCAGATTTGAAGACCATTCTGGTTACTCGGGAATACAGATTAGGAGGAGATGAATCTCTAGAGGAATGCATTCATGCTATTTGCAAGAGTGCAGGCAAGGCCGTCCGCGTGTCTCTTCTCGCCTCCTGCCACCGCTGCAGAGGAGCAGCTGCCGCCATGTCTGCCCAACTGTAATAGACGGTCGTGCGTTATCTGCTCCAGCTTCTTGATTAAGCGGAACAAGCAGATCTACAGCACTGGAGCCCAATAACCTCAAAGCCCGTAACTCCTTCCGCTACAACGGGCGGATCCACTGCAAGACCGTGGGCGTGGACCCCCCCCCCCCCCACACACACACACAACAAGGGGTCGTAGTGGTGATGAAGTGGAGGTCAGGCCAGAGGAAGCCGGCCACCACCTACGCGCGGACCACCATCCACAAGAACGCCTGGGCCACGCTCAGCAGCATCCGCCACAGGATTGGCAAGAACAAGCACTGGCCGGGACCTGCGCATGACCCGTGATGGTGAAGAGGAAGCGTACCCGCCCCATCAAGAGCTCCTGAGCAGCAGCTGCCCCAGCAATAAAGGCAGATTGTTTCCACCCCCTCATCCCCCTCCCCCCCCAAAAAAAGTACAGGCATGAGATTCTGGTGGCTTGGACTCGGTTGATGGCCACAGAAGGGGGGGGGAGGTAAAGAATACAGGTTTAGGAGGTAAGAGCAGAAGAGCTTAATGGCAGGCAAAGTCATGCAGAGCAAGCCTGAATATGTCTTTGTTGCAAAACCATGCATCGTTGATATTCTTTAATAGGAACATGTGGTGAAAGACCATGATGTTGTCTTGATACCATCACCAATTGGTGATACTGTCTTGGAAAATGAGCCAAGTGAAACATGCTTGCATAACAGAATAGCCTGGAGTAGTAATATTTTAAAATACAAATTCCTGTATTATACTCACCCGAGTTTGACTCAATAAATCTGCATGGAGTCAGGCCATGAAATCTCCATTTTAAACACATCCCTTACAAAGTCTAACACTGTTTGCAGGTCCTGGTAGGTAGCCCTAGCTAGGTCTCTGACAGTTGTGCCCTAGAAAATCAATCTTATTTGCTGTCCAGAGTCACTTTTCTTCAGGAGGCTAGCTATACAACATGTTTATCTAATTCTTCCCAGACCCAACACAGTGTAAACACATTCCTTGGGAGCAGCTGAGGAAGGTCACTCAGAGTCCCGTATTTATACTAATAGGTTCACATGCATGAACACATGCCAGCACACACACACACACACACACACACATTCCATCTGACCAGCATTACTAGCATGCTTGGGGTCAGGATTAAAAAAAAAAAAACCACTGTGAACACATCACCTAATCAACAGTATTCCCTGAAGGATTCCAAGGACTTACAGGGATAGTTCAAAGGCTTAGCAATTTCCAGAAAGAGATTCCACAGGTAGACATAAAGGACTATGAATCAAGTTGGGTTGTGTTGCTCTATTCTGTGACTAACAGGAAAAGTGCTAAACTTAACTTCTTCCCTGGAATTGACACCAAAGTATTTGTGCTACAAATAGAGTCTTGTTTCCTTGCCAAGAAGGTGGTGAATCCTGATGCTTTCCTCTATTCACTGTGACATACCAGTCTGCAAACTTACAAACACAGGTACTCATGATCAGATAGAAAACAAAACAAATACTATTAGCTGATAACAAACACATTGTTCAGTATATGGTCTGAAACATTACCTTTCTCAGTGCTGAGATCTATTAAATGGGAAAGAGATAATCTTTTTAACAAATGGTGTTGACAAAACTGGATATCCATTTGCAGAAAAATGAAGTGGGGCTTACACGCAATAACTAGCCCAAGATGGAACAAAGACCTAAATGTAAAGCTTAAAACTATAAAGATAATGAAAAAGAAATAATAAACTTAGGGACCCTAATTTATGGCATGTTGTTGTTGATTGCCTTCAAGTCGAGCATGACTCATAGCGACCCTGTGAATAAAAGGCTTGAAGCCTTTCTATAACTATCATCATTTATCAAAGTTCATAAGAGTTTCTGGAGGCATGTTGTTTAGGAAGTGGCATAGTCTATCAAATATAACAAAAAATTCGTAAACAGAAAATAGACCATTGAGATTCTCTAAAAATTAATCCTGTGCTTCAAAAGATCTCTCCAAAGGAGTAAAAAGATAAAACCTATAGACTGGGAAAACTTTTTTTGGCAATAAAACAACTAACATGGGACTAATACCTAAAAAAGTTGAACACTTCAACTACAAAAAGAAGAAGACAACCTTCTCTATTTTAAAGTTAATTAAAGGTCATTTCATCAAAGAACACATCTAGTAGTTAGCAACTATGAAAGGAGATGCTCACAATCATTAGCCGTTGTTATTGTTAAGTACCATGGAGTTGAGTACAATTCATAGCAACACTGTGAACAACATGTCTTATTCTGCATTATTCTTATCTTCCCAACATTCTTGAGCCTGTTGTAGAAAACATATTAATCTCATTGAAGGTCTTCCTCTCTTTGCTGACCTTTCTAAGCATGATGTCCCTTTTCAAGGTATAGCCTCTCTTAACAACATGTCCAAGATCAGCTTCACCATCTTTGCCGCCAAGGAGCACTCTGGTTGTGCTTTCTCTAAGACATCTCTCTTTGTTTCTTTGGCAGTTCATAAGAGATTCCACAATCTTTTCCCACACCACAACTTACATGCATCAATTTTTCTCCTGTCATTCTTATTCATTGTCTAATTCTCAGATGCAAAAAGCAAGTGACCAAAAAGACCATGGCCTGAATTACTTTTCATCACTGACATCACTGCTCCTCAGTAATTTGGAGAAGTCTCTGACAGCAGACTTTCCTAAGGCAAAACATCTCCTAATCTCCAGGCTTCTGGTACCAAAAGAGTTAATTGTGGATCCAAGCAAGGTGAAATTGCTGATAATTTCAATCTTTCCCCTATCTATCATAATGTTGTTTATCATCCAGTGATGAGGAATTTTTCGTCTTCTTGATGTTGAGATGCAATCCATGTTGAAGGCTATAGTAGCAAGCTTTTCAAGTCCTCC